AATGTAAATGTATTTTCACTCGTTAAACGTCACCATAGGCTGCCATTCAAATTCAATTGTTGATATCAAGAATTGATTTCTTACTAGTTAAAATTCCAATTGCACATATCAGAAATACAATTCTTACTAGTAAAAGCCTTTATTTTTTTATATCAGTAATTACATTGTCACTAGTAAAAAGATGAATTCCTGATATCAAGAATTCATTTGTCACTGGTTGAAATGTTAATTCTTGATATCTGTAAATATATTTCAACATGTTGTAGTTGTCATTTCTGATATCTAAAATGACTTTTGTTACTTAGTAACAATCACATTCATGATATCAGAAATTAACATTGTCACCAGTGACATTTGAATTACTGATATCAAAAATGAACATTTTTACTAGTGGCAATTCAATTGTTGATATCAAGAGTAGACATTTGCACTAGTAACCATGTGATTACTGATATCAAAAACAAAGGCCTTTACTAGTAAGAATTGTATTTCTGATATTTGCAATTTTAACTAGTAAGAAATCAATTCTTGATATCAACAATTTATTTTGAATGGCAGCCTATGGTGACATTTAACTAGTGAAAATACAATAACAGATATCAAGAATTATATTTTTTATAGTTGAAATGTAATTCCTGATATCAATTATTAGTATTTTAACTAGTGAAAACTGAATTGATGATATCAAGAATTAACATTGTTACTAGTGAAAATGTAATTCCTGATATCAATAAAAGCCATTGTTACTAGTAGAAATCCAATTCCTGATATCAAGAATTAGCATTTTAACTAGTGAAAATACAATAACAGATATCAAGAATTATATTTTTTATAGTTGAAATGTAATTCCTGATATCAAGAATTAGCATTTTAACTAGTGAAAATTGAATTGTTGATATCAAGAATTCATATCCTGTGAAGTAATAAAAGTAAAAACGGCTTGCCATACGCTCATAAATAATACACCATAACAAAAGACTAAAATCCAAGGTTCTCAGCAACATAAGAGCTGCAAACAAAAGCCAGAAAATGAGCGCATGCAATGAATAATTCCACCATTTCCTTTAAAATTCATGATGATGATGCATTTGTGGGCTTACAGTGCTTTACTGAACATCATTTCATGCCAAAAGAAAAAAAAACTGCTTGTTTGATCTGCATCTAATAATCTGCAATGATGCAAAAATAATAATACAAAAATAGGTTATTTAACACAAGAAAGACGTGTGAAACACGTGAAAAGAGAGAAAAGAAAGAGCGAAACAGAGTGAGAAAGTAAGGGGATAAAGGAAAGAAAGCTTTACTATCACAATCCCAATGGATCTTTTTATATGAGCTGTGCATCAAATTATCCAGATGTCCAATTATATCTACTGCTGTTCTGCCCTTTAATTAAACAACTGACCATCTTCACACTCTCATTTACTCTCTGACTCCTGGAGATTTTCTCTTTCTGCTTTTTTCCCTCTGTCTTCTGGAATTAGAGGAAGAAAACAGATTCAAAAGGTGATACATTTGATGCAATACGCTTAAAGTTTAACCAGTAAAAGCACTTACAGGATATTCTGAGTCAAGGAAGAAAAACTTTTAATGGGTTTGATTAGCATAATCATTAGGATTCTTAAACATTAGGGCAGCAAATAATTATTTCAGTAGGCTAATCGATTAATCTCCATATTTCATTTTATTTTATTTTATTTTATTTTATGAACTGGAATAAAATCTGGGCCAGTCAATACCTATTAAATCGCATGTTAATCCCTTTATAGTAAGTACCTTCATAAAAATACCATTGCTTGCCTTACATGTAGAATTATAACACTAAATACAATGAATTTATTTATTTATTTAAATATTTATTTATTTATTTATTTGAATGAATGATAGCGATCTCTCTTTTGCGCTCCCTCTCGTTGATGCGCATGCGCGCACTGACGCTTATCCAAAAATGAAACCTCTTTGAGGCCTGATTCAAGTTGTGCATCTCAAATGGAGGTTCAGAAAAGTGACTGATCCATTAATATGATTGGACTAAATTTATAATGTACACATTTGATATTGCTTCCCCGCCTATATATATAGTATAAACCAGCAAGATGAAGTTTTACTGTGACTGTTAATGGATCTGAAGCTACACAGCAGCTCATATGCTCGTGTTACTCCAGTAAATGTGTTTTACCTGATGGCAGATCTCGTGCACCACCACCATGGTGAGCTCCATCTGATAGGAGAAGGAGGAGACGTCAGGATCCAACAAGATCTTCTGCTCCACAAACACACTCAGGCCCCAGTTCTCCATGGCTGCATACGGATGCTTCGGCACTGCCAGGAGATCTGCACACAGTGAGGAAGATCCAAGCTCAATGATGGGAAACCAGGATTGTGATACAATGCAACAACAAGTAAGTGTAGACAAATATAACAAACAGCAGCTCAATCAAACCAAATATTTCCCAAGTATTGTGGAAGCACTGTATATGATTCATCTTGTTCACTGTAAATGATGTTCTAAAACAGACAAATGTTCTTCTTTACTACATAACTGTACATCATAGAACAAAAGCTCAAATCCCAGATATCATCTGATGTGGATTAGCCTTTGATCAAATGCATTTATCATCTAATTGCTATAATCAAAGATCATTGAATTTTAAACCCAAAACCAGACACACATGAATTGGGCTGAAAGCAGCTGCAGAGTTTTGGAAGGAAGCTACAATCGTCACTCTTTAAAAGTGAGCAGCAGTCAGGTGCTTCGATGGTAATGACGAGTCTCCATTAGGTTTGTACGTTTACACATGAGTAATGCTTTTCCTTTACAGAGATGATGGTGGAGTGACGAGCTCATTCAAGTGGCAAAGAACAATGAAAACAGCAACGCAAAGGTGAATGACTGAAAGAGCTGCTCTGTTAAATGACTTCAGTAAGTAAATCTGAATAAGACAGCGCAAGTTTAATTGCCCATTGTTTACGGACGAGAGACTTGATGCTCTTTTAATTGGGTTTTTATACAGACTCATACTGTAATTACACGACCGATGCTCTTGAAGAGAGAGACAAAAGCACCAAGGTAATCAGAGATGTACTTCAACTCCATCAGAACTTCCAAGATCCTCACCCAGAACAGTACCAGAATACCCTTGTCTACACACCTCAAGGCCCATATCCAGACACATTAGTAAGTAAAGATAATGATCCTTCAGTATATATCAAAGTATAATTGTGCCACAGTACTGCAGCAGCACTTTTTGTTTGAGATAAATATACAAACGTATTATTTTCATTCAACCGTAACCTGCAAATTGTCATTTTAACTATTAACGCATATAATAGTGTTTTTAATCAATATCACAGGAGCAAGTGTGTTGTTCATAGAATATACGATAATGTTTGGAAAAACAGCACAATAGTGGGTGTGGTATTGCTTTTATTCAACAGTTCAATAAACATAAAGATAATATTGTCTAATATTGTATAGCAAATTAGTTGAGTGAATGATTTAATGACTCAGTAACTTTAGTAATTTCTGAATGAATCTGAAACAAATTGGTCGATTGAACGTTTCAGTGATATATTCATAAAGGCGTTCACTTTTTCGTTTCTAAGTTAACATTTTTTTTTTTAATAAATATGTTGAGTGAATAATTCAGTGACTCATCCATTAAGACAGTCACTTAATTCATTCTTGAAAGAATTTGTGTTTTTAAACAAATATTTTGGTAAATCATTCAATAACTCACTCAAGAATGTTACTGCCACCTGCTGGGGTAACAGTGTAGCCTGCAGGAAGATATATATATAAGATATATACGGTGGCCGAGAGAGCTCAACGCGCTGCAACTTAAGAAAACACATGCAAATTGAAAAAACACCAGCAAATTAAAAAAACATCTTCATCAGTTTGACAACACACGCGCTGCAAATCCTCACAACACATGCAAATGAAGAAACGCGCTGCAAATCCTCACAACACATGCAAATGAAGAAACGCGCTGCAAATCCTCACAACACATGCAAATGAAGAAACGCGCTGCAAAATTACATACACAACCAGAATACAAAACAATAAATATATAAAGAATAATAAAAATGAAATATAAACAGAACAAAAACAAATAAATAAAAAGTTAAACATCTTTTCTTTTTTTTCTTTTTTTTTTTAATAAATAAATCATAAATAAATAAATAAAAAAATATATATTGTTGATATATAAAGCTGTTTTGGCAGAGTGCTGTACATTGCAGAAATCTTGATGATGCAAAGTTGGAGAAATTTCCTCATCGTTCCATCTCTTTCTGCCATTCGCTGTCTCACATATGTTATTAAAAGTGTCTGGAGGAATCCATAAGGGGAAGATAAAGGTACAAAACGGAGAGGGTGTGTAGACCAGGGCACGGTGAATGGCAGGAGACGCAGTAACAAGAGCGTCTGGAAAAACAGCAAGATCAAAATAAACAAACAGCTTGTGTTTTCAGAGAGCAGAACCTCCACTATCTCCACTAAAGCAATTATTCATCATGTTTCTCACACCTCAGTCTGTTTCACACAAACACACACACACCGCCTGAGGTCTAGTTCTGAGCATTCAGGTCTATCTGGAGGTCTGCATTACCTGCGCTGTTCTTTGAGGCTGTTTTAGGGCAAGCGGTCCTGGGGCGACACAGGAAGTGTGGCAGAAGAAGGTGGGAGGAAGTGAATGTGAAGCTTTTCTCACAGCAGGGTTCAGTCTGTCAGCGCACACCTGATCTCTGGTAACATTCACTTCATAAAAGCCAGACACTTGTCTGTATACAGAGCGGCAGAATAGAAAAGAATATTTGCATCTCTACATTTTGCTTCACTTATGCGTTTCCTTCTATTCATCTGTCTGTGTCTATCTATCTATGTGTCTGGCTGCTATTTGGTGTTTTACAGTATGTCATTTTTAGCATTATTGTTAATTTGTGTTGCTAGTAAGATGTAGTTGGTTATTTAAAGGTTTCATCTCAAAAGAGCCCACAACCAAGTCTTTATGATATTCTTGTTTATAGATATGACTCAGCTCCACCCTTCAATGTTCTGTAAGTGTTGTTTTCACCAGATAAAAGTAGTAAGTTTGATAGTTTAGTAAAGTAATAGCACACATCTGCTCAACAAGACATTATTTGAGGCATCAATCATGTACAAGTATTTCAAGAGATACACGCTTCAATTTAATACTTAGTTTGTTCAAATCAATAAAAATTTGACTTTTGTTTCAACAGTTGAAGGGCAGAAATTACCACCATATTTGACATAATCTGTGTTCACACACCTCGTTAACAATTATCACCTTCAAGTGCAGTTCTCCCCACAGGCGAAGACATTTCCAATTATTATATACTGTAGTTATTGGACACACATCGCCTGATGTTGTTATGGCTCACTATGATTACACAGTATTTGTCTCAGAGGAAACAGAGCTCTGATAGGAAGAAACGCTGAGCCCCAAACCAATGAAAACACTTAATGAAGTTTCTTCATTAGATTAATACACTTAATGACCATCAAGGCATCTGTGTTTGAAGTAGTTGTCCATGAACATGCGCAGTGCTAGTTCTTTTATTGTGTGTAATGGGTTTTGAGGGTTATTCATTAGCAACCTGCTTTTTCCCCCTTAATGCACTAAAAATACACTGTGAGAAACTGAAGTTCAGTGAGGAATCACAAAATATATGATTGCTAGTGTTTTTAGATTCACTGCACCATATAACCATAATATCCTTATTAAGTTTTGACAAACTTTGTATCGTTAGAATGTCTAAGACTCAACATTAGACTTTTGTTTAGGAATAAATCTTACAGTAAGTCATGGCCGACAGAATAGCATCACTCCCATTAAAGCAGCTAAAAAGTTCTCAACAGCCCAGAAACAGCTGTCGTAAACATTCAATCCAGCATTAGCGAGTGCAATGTTTAGGCTTTACACACTTCAGCTGTTAATGCTATAAGCTCTGTCTTATTTCTTCTGTTTAATAGCTCAGATAAGAGTTAAACTGGCCTGACTTCAGTGCTGGACTCTTTAAGAGTGAGTCTGTTTAGCATGTTAAACTGATGTGATGTGATGAAGGTCTGACAGAGCAGCTGTTCACTTTCACACACTCTATCATCATATACATCTACTTTCACCTTCAACAGTCTTACAGGATTAGTATCGACAGAACATTCATCAAAGGATTAAACCGATCAGGAAATAGATGTTCAGAAGTATACTGTGTGTGTGAAGTGTTTCTCTTGTTATTTGACATTTAAATGTTTAAATTCTGTCTTGTAGTGCAATTCCCACAGATCCATCCTTTGATTTTCCAGAACTTTCTGTGCCTGCATTTTTCAACATCCAGCTTTCAATTGTGATTCTCAAGTCTGTGCTTGAACAGAATTTCTGTTTAGTATTTCTGTCATGTTTTGTTAGCGTTCTCAACAGAACAATTTGTCAGCTTTTTAACGCAGTTATTAGTTAATAACTTACATTTTCAAGTTTATAGTAACAAGTCAGCTTTGAAGCTTCCCTTACAAAGTTAATTTAATGAAGTACAGTTGAAGTATATTATATTCAAAGTGTACTAATAACAGTGCACTAGTAGTATATTTATACGCCCACTATTTCAATAATTCTTGTATTGTATACTGATTTTTAGTTGATAAAAGTTTACTTTTAAGTGTAACAGTAGTAAACTTTGAGTACAGTACTAGTTTATATCTAAATTTTTCTTTAGTATTGCAACTATACTACAATATAACTTATATTGTTAATTTACTTATACTTCTAATGCATTTTGAAGAATACTATCAGTAAACTAGTAGTTCAAATGCAAGTAAATTCATAAGTTTTTAAGTGATCTTAACATCATGCTTATAGTTTAGTATAACATGTTTACTATCTATAGGCTAATAGCATTGCCAGACATTTATATTTACAGACACATTTTTATTGAGTGTCTGAATTCTAAATTCATTAACAGTTCATTAAATTGAATGCGGGCAATACAGTACCTTTCTAGTACAGTGTGTGTGTGATGGCAGTTCTACTTTCTAACTCTGTCCTTTTGCAGAGTAAAAGAGAAATAAAGACAGAAGGCTGGAAGATTGGCGTTTTTTGTTTCATTATTATTTATTTCATCATTCATCATTTTGTTTATTTTATCCTTAACCTTTGTTCATCTGTTAATTAATTTGTACTGAACTGTCAATGAATTTAGAATTCAGACATGGAATAACAAGTGAGCAGTGGTGGAAAGAGTACTGAAAAAATATACTCAAGTAAAAGTTATTACTATCTCTCTATCCAATCACGTTGATGGATAAAAATAAAATT